CAATGTGCAAGATATTGTATGGTTTGGGACCTACCATTTGCATGGTATAGAGCCCTCAATGTGCAAGATATTGTATGGTTTGGGACCTACCATTTGCATGGTATAGAGCCCTCAATGTGCAAGATATTGTATGGTTTGGGACCTACCATATTGGCATAGTAATGGAAAATTCAACATGGCATCCACTCAGAGCAGTTATGAAACCTCTTGCTTGGTCATTGACACTTATTCAGGCTTCTATCTCAGGCTTCCTTTTGCAACAGTTAATGCAGTTTGATTTTCTTTTATTTAACTCTACATACTGCTTGATTTTGTATGATAAAGAACAACGCGGCATCCTGCAATCACTCTGTGAATATGCGTAGACTTCTGTAATATCAGAATGATGTTATTGAATGGATTGTACTTTATTTCCAGCCTGTTATTTTGTAAATGCAAAAATTCAGATAAAAGACATTTCCATAAATATATTTCCTGATCTCAGATGCTGTACAGTAGTTTCTTATGTATATAATGGGATTTCTTTAATGAAAAGCACAATGAGCATACTTAATACTGCTACACACTTGCCTCAAAGGGGGTCTTGTGTCTTGTAATAACTTAATTAAAATGTCCGTAATTTCTTTATGTGGGTTGCATTTTCTTTTATTGTTGTTAATATGAAATGATAAAAAAGTGGAAAGGAGAACGTGGAGCTCAAATAATGGTCAGCCATCATAGGAAGAGGCCTTGAAGGTCAACTTTGAATTGAAAGTTTGAGTGATATGACACCACTCAGAAGCTGCTTATTTTGGTGTGAACTAAAGTTGGCCATGCACCAGTAGATTTTTGAACAAACATTCAAGCTCACTAAGACAGGAAAAAAAGCAAATATCTACATTGAGGACAACAGCAGCAACAAAAGTAGTTTATATAGTGCAGAGAAGAATTATAACCTGATTTCAATGGCAGTACTCCTGTGGAAGTTACTTTTCATTGTGGTCACATGCGCAGGAAATAAAAGTGAACATGTTTCCTCTTAAATATTTAGTTCAGGTCACTCCTCGGGTGTCAGATTATGTTAAACAGAATTTAGATCCCTTTCTCTCCAGGATTAGATGTAAGGGAAAAAAACTTGGTGTAAGCTACCACTGTCGGTCATTGGCAGAGCCAATTTAATTAACATGATCTGGATGCCACAGTTACTCTATTACATATTAGGCCAATATGGCTTCCACAACTTTTTTTTTTCAGAATATTGACATCCTGTTCAGAGATTTAAGCTGGAAGAATGGTCATCCTAGAATCAAATTTACCACTCTTCAGCTCCCCAAGACAGGAGTGGCTTAGCGGTACCCAAAGCTAAATTATATCCAGCTTCCTAATTATAACATCTTTATGGGTGGAATACCGTAGGCTGAGGTGACCCTATTCAATGCATAAGTCTGTCGCAATTTCCAGATGTACCATCAGTTGGATTGTTGGTAGGGGGCCATTTTCGTACCAAAATGTAATGAACCTTCGTTTTCTATGTTCCATCATTTGTGGGAATCTGTAAGGTCGATTTCTTTTCATGAAAGGTATATGCAATACATGCCTATTTGGAATAACCCAACTCTGTCTGAACTTGACAAACATCAGGGTTTTGAATCTTGGAACAGCATGAGTATACTGTACTTACACCAACTTGAAGATAAAGATGTACTGTTACCATTTGCTGTCCTTGCAGGGAACTATCACATGACACATAAATGATTTTTTTCAGTACCATCAACTCCGTCATGCATTGCCTATAAGTTTCTTTCCCTCTGAAATATAACCCATCGTCCATTCTCACGATGGCAGTCTCTACTACTTGTTCAAAGATAGGAGACTTTTATTTCTACCCTGCACACCACAGATAGTGCCAAGATTCAACTGATTTGAATTCACCACTGGGAAGAAGATTTGGGCCCAATGGATGATGACCAATGGCTTCAGGCCTTGGAACTCATACCATTAGTTTCTTTGTCTCCTCCGCAATGCCTAATGCAGTTGTTTATAGTTCATAGAGTCCATTATACACCTCAACACTTACATGTGTGGGGTAGATCTACAATGAGCAACTGCTCACACTGTTACGAATACAGGCACCCTTATCCATTTGTTATGATGATGCCCCAAACGCCATTGGTATTGGGCAGCTTTTTTTCAGATGCTTAACAGTATTTGTTCTACTCATATTCCTATTGATCCCAAAATAGTTATTCCGGGCATCCTCCCAGCAGATATACTACCGGTAGAACTTATTATGGACACAAGCCCTTTATATTGGCAGGAAATTAATATTACAAAAAATGGCTCCCCCTACATTATCACACTGTAGTGATGCTGTAAATCTCAATGTAAAGAGGGAGAATTTGACACATAGGCACAGGGAATTCCCTAAAAAAAATGTTTTAAATGTGGGAACCATGGCTCTAGTCCGTGGAATCCTTGTTTGTTTCATCGGATGACTGATAGGATTAGGGTGTGCGGTATATCTCAGCTGGGTATGTGTTTTTCTGGTAATTCACTTCATGATGTCACACTTTTGGTTTCTGTGTAGTATGTAACTGATGGCCCCTGTGGAGGTTGAGAGTCTATACTCTTATGGTGTCCGGAGTACTGTTATGGAACTGACAATAAAAGTACGTTAACTGTAATTGTAACCAAGTTGATTTGTTTGAATATATTTGGTCCATCAGGTGTAGTTATGCTTTTTTGCTTTTGCCTGTGAAACTGAAAAAATAACTTTTTTTTTTTTTTTTCTTTTCTCAAAAATTACCTGATTAAAAAAAAACAAAAAGTGAATCTCCCCAGCAACGGTAGGGATAGCATGGGATATAAGACAGAATTTCTACCCTTCCTTAATTTGTTTACAGCGCTTATTATTAGCCCTATTATTACATTATGGGGAAAACATGGAAAAGGGGTTTGTCTGCACATAGCACATGCAGTAGCTGCATCCATTCTCAAGGCTCCATGCAGTGCCGGGACAAGGTCATCCAGTGCCCAGGGGAAGGATGACAAACTGCACCCCCTTTATTATTAGCAACAGAAGCATCACTTCTGTCTGCGTCCAGGAGAGAGCAGGGAGGAGGTGTGGGTTGTGTTTTCTCTCCCCCTCCTCCTTCTTGCCTGTTCAGCGCTCCTGTATTTCTATACACAAAGTTAATGGCTTTTTAATACAGGCACTCTACTTCAGCAGGAAGGTGAGGGGGGGAGAGAGACACAATCTGCACTTCCTCCCTGCTCTCTCCTGGACGCTTCCAGCACTGGGCTGAAAAGAGTAGTTATGCTGCTATCATTGCTACTAGCAGCTTTGTATCTGAATGCACTTACCACATGGCAACCCTATGCCTGCAGTAAATGCTGCTCACAGGGTAGCCGCCCCTCCTGTCCACCCCTTGTCCCGACCCTGGGTCCAAGCACACTAGGGGCAGAAAACAAAAGGCCATTGAGATTTTTTTTTTCTTCCTGAAAATGTTCCTCTGCAAATATGCCTCTAAACGCTCTAATGAGCATGGACACACAGGTTAACACAGAGTTGCTTATACAGGCTAAATAAAAACAAAAAAGCCAAATGCCTATATCTGCAACATTTTATTTATGCCCAGTGTGCATGGATCCTAAAGAGGCTCTGTTACTGCTCATGTAGGTCTATTGAAGGTTCAGGAATCAGTGTTCCAGATATAGGGGAGCATATGACACACCTCCCCAGGCTGACCTCCTGGCCTGGATACTGTTGTGCCATCAATTATACATACGCCCCAACATGTAGCTTCCACAGGGTTTAAATTCCCAGCTCTGATTGAAAAGCCACACTGCAAAGGTAGGTAAACGTATGTTAATAACTGCACAGCAATGCTAAAATGTGGAAAGCATAGACAAATGGATCTTTGAACACACCTGTTAATGTACAATGCACCACATTCTATATATTTTCTAGTACACTGCATCAGTGAATGCACAGCAGAGGCCAGTGCAGACCTGCAATGCAGCGAGAACAATAATACATACCCATGGTCCCATGAAGTTCCTGAGAACTACATTGACTCATACTATGAGTGTACTGAAGCCTGCGGTTAGTAAAAGTGGCAGTTACAGCATATGTGTAAAACATGTGGCTCAAAAGGCTCTTTTGTTGTGGACCTCACACCTCTCCTGGAGCTGTGGCAACCCAATCCTACTTTGTTTCAGCAGTTGGCAGAAGAGAGGAGGACAGAACTCCTCTGCCAGATCCTGTGCTTCTCCGTGCAGCTGTGGAGAGGCTTATCTCTGCCTGGCCTTCCCATATCAGCAGCAGAACGAAGGACAAAATTCTAACAGATCCTGCTCCTTTCTGTGCAGCTGCAGCATCCCCTTGTCTCCACCTCTCCTGGTCTCAGCATGCAGCAGATTCCAGCCCTCCTCTGGTCCTCCTCCAGACCCTGCACTTGCTGCTTCTCAGCTCTGCCCCCAGCGTTTTCCTGGCAGCAGCACAAGGTAAGGGGGGTGCACGGTGATGTAAAGCAGAGAGAGGGATTCTTGATTTCTGATAGTGGGGGGAGCTCTTGATGTCTGACGTAAGGGGGGAGGGGTGCTCTGGAAATCTAGTCTTAGATACAACTGGCTCTTTGATGGCAATCATAATGCTAATGCGGCCCATGATGAAATTTGAATTTGACACCCCTGATTTTGAGGGTAGAGACAAACCATTTAACATTGATGGGGGTGCTTACAATGGTCAACTATTAATGTATTCATTTATGTAAAACCTTTACCCCCCCCCCCCCAAAAAAAAAAACAAACTTGAAAACATTTTAACTGCAGCTGTTTTAATTTTTTTAGCTAGGGGCTCATTTACACCAGATGCAGTCAGGTGTTTTTAAATTCAGTATGAACGCACATGCAAGGGAATAATGAATGTGTTCCAATCAGCGTAGTTTACACCAACTGTTTGAATTAAAATTCAAGGAGGCCCGGTCACTAAAATTTTCTTCTGGCCGAGGTCCGAATAGTGCACCCATCAGTGTGCCCCTTATATTAGGTGTCACTATCAGAGTGCAGCTTTATATCATGTATTCCCATCACATCAGTTGTCCTTATCAGAGTGTCCCTTTACATCAGTTGTCCTCATCAGGGTGTCCCTTTACATCAGTTGTCCTCATCAGGGTGTCCCTTTACATCAGTTGTCCTCCTCAGAGTGCCCCTTTACAGCAGTTGTCCTCATCAGAGTGCCCCTTTACATCAGGTATCTCCGTCACATTGCCACCTTACACCAGGTATTCCCATCAGAGTGTCCCCTTATATTAGGTGTCACCATCAAAGTGCAACTTTACATCATGTATTCCCATCGCATCAGTTGTCCTCATCAGAGTGCCCCCTTTACATCAGGTATCCCCATCACACTGCCACCTTACACCAGGTATTCCCGTCAGGGTGCCCCCTTACACTCAAAGTACCCCTTTCTTTCATATTTCCCCATCAGAGTGCCCCTTTACATCACGTGCTCATCAGAGTGCCCCTTTCCACAGTAGGTGCCCATTTGTGCCCCCTTAACATAAAATAAGTGGCATGCTTTTATGCAGATTTTATGTTAAGGGGCACTCTGATGGATACATTCTACGTTGTGCCCATCAGAGTGCCCCTTAATATAAATGTGCCCATCAGAGTGCCGCTGTAAGACCACACCCTACCTTGAGGGCAGACAGGAGCTGTGCCGGGATCCTTGCTGGACTCTTGTGTACAGTCAAGGAGCAGAAGCCGGAGAGACAGTGAGCTGAAAGGGGCGGGACACACACGTGATGTCATGTTGCTATGATGACCGCCCTGTTCAGCGGCGGATCTGTCATTGCGGGCTGGCTGGCGGTCCAGTTCCTTTTTTAGTACTACACAATGGCTGTGCTTTTTTCCTCTTTCCCTCAATTCACAGCTATGAATCTTGGACATTAAAAACAATCCCCTCCCAGTGTAGCTAAGCTGGCCTACCTCAGGTGATCATCTACAAATCTGTACATTTTGTATAACACAATATTACTAGAACTACTAATATTGTAGATGAGTACATTACTGCACTACAAATGATGTATTGACTGAAGGTAGTCCTTACTTTCCTTTTGAGGCCCCTTTCTCATGGGTGTGATGTGTTCTGTAGAGTGAACTCCCGCTGAGTCCGATCAGAATGGAAGCAGATGGTTGCACCCTCCACAGCCCAGCGCTCCAGTGAGCAATGGGGGGGGGGGGGGTGAAAGAACAGACAGCGTGACTGACAGTCCCTCTCTCTGCTCAGAGCGGCTGTGAGAACTCAGCGACCGGCAGTCATGTGATCACTGAGTTCTCACACTTAGAGGCGGCAGGGAACAGATGCAGCGTCGGACCAATACTGCATCCACCTAGGTAAGTATAAATAGGAGGATAAACTCCACAGTTCTCTTCAATAGAAGCAGTCATAATAAGACTCCCTTCACACTTGTGCGGCTTCAAAATCATGTGATTTTCATTGGGACTTTACAGTGTGACTTGATGCGACTTTGGATGAGTGCGACTTTGGTGCGCGACTTTGACCAAGGATAATACTTTCTGCTGTACAAAGTCGCACACAAGTCGCATGTACAACATTCAGGTGCGACTTTGGAGGGGTAACATGAAGTCTATGGCCCTCAAGTCGCATGAAAGTGGGACCAAAGTAGTGCAGGAGCTACTTTGAAATCACAAAGATATGAATGGTACCCATTGGGAAACATGGGGGGAGACTTGTCATGCGACTTTGGACTCCAAAGTCGCATGACAAGTCACATAAGTGTGAATGGAGCCTTAGGCTTTGTAAAGGACTTGAATATTCAGTATTAACCTACTGTAATGATGCAGGTACAATTTATATTTGTTCCCTTATTAACCAGTTCATTGCAGGAGCCGGTGGCCATTTATAAATGTCCTCCTCACTTCCCTGCCTGTGCGCACTCCCTGAGAGCATGCGGCACTGCAATCCAGTGCCCGCTGTGTCCTCCGAACACCAATCGCTGTACGGGACCTCTGTGTGAGGTCTCGATCATGTGATCACTGATTGGCCAATCATTGCTTACATCATGTACTTCTGACATCATTGCTTACTACTAGTGAAATCTGTGAATGATCACAGAGATCACATGGTACAAGGCTATTCACAAGAGCCTTGTACCATGTGACAAGCTGTGACCAATCACAGCTCACACAGTAGTTCTCAATGGCTGCAAGAATGCAGCTAGAGAGAAGGAGAAATGATTGCTTTTACAGCCTTTATGGGTGTAAAAGCAATCAGTGTTAAAAAAAAAAAAAAAAAATCTTTATCACCCCCCACATGTAGTACAGTGTCACTTTACCCGCGAGGGTGACGGTATGTTGAATAAAAAAAAACAAATAATATAAAAAAAAAAAAAAAATGTCAAATGTTTTGAAAAATTATAATTTTTAGTTATAAACTAATTTGGGTTATTTTATTTTTTTTTTTACTAAAAAGATCGATGAATACATTTTGGCCAATATTTATTTTTTTTTTTCAAAATGTTTGTACTTTTTCATTTATATAGCAAAAAAAATAAAAATGCTAATGGTGAATAAATACCACCAAAATAAAGTTTTATCTGTCTCAAAAAATTGCAAAAAAATTAATATGGGTTGAGTGTTGCATGACCACGCAATTGTCATTCAAAGTGTGATAGCGCTGAAAGCTGAAAATTGGCCTGGACAGGAAGGGGGTGGAAGTGTGTCCGAATTTGAAGTGGTTAAAAAAAATTTTTTTGTATCTGGAGAACAGATTATTATTATACAGTATTTATTAAAGCGCCAACAGTTCGCTCAGCGCTGTACATTACAAAGGGGGACAGAACATGCGACAGTACAGTAACAATAGAATACAATGCGATACACGAGGGGTTCAAGGGCCCTGCCCTTTCGAGCTTAAAAATCTAGGAGGGAGGGGATGGTGGGCACAGGAGGAAATAGCTGTGGGGGATGGGGGAGTGGTAGGAGGAGTGGAAGAGGTCGGCAAATTAGCAGGGGGTGGGTAGGCTTCTCTGAAGAGGTGGGTTTTCAAGTGCGCCTAAAGGAGAGGAGAGTAGGTGATAGTCTGATGGGTTGGGGCAGGAGCTCCAGAGGATGGGTGACACCCTGGAGAAATCCTGGAGGCGGGCACGGGTAGGAGAAGACCAGGGAACTAGAGAGAAGGAGGTCTTGTGAGGAGCGGAGTGTGCGTGTTGGGTGGTACTTGGATATTAGGTCGGTGATGTAATTTGGGGCAGTATGGTGGACAGCTTTGTACATCAGTGTTAGGATTTTGAATTGATCTGTTGCGCAATCGGATAGCCAGTGAGGGATTGGCAGAGGGGGGTGGGCGGAAACGGAGCGGTTGGTAAGGTGAATGAGTCTGGCAGCCAGTATTCAGGATCGACTGAAGCGGGGATAGCCAGCGGCGAGGCAGGCCAGTGAGGAGGGGAGTTTGCAGTAATCGAGTTGTGATATGATGAGGGAGTGGATGAGCTGTTTAGTAGTTTCTGGTGTTAGGAAAGTGCGTATTTTGGTGATGTTGTGGAGGTGGAGTCTGCATGAGTTTGTTAAAGATTGGACTTGGGTCCTGGAAGGATAGGTAGGAGTCCAGAATGACACCAAGTACTCTGGCCTGCGGGGGGGCCTGATAGTGGCATTGTTGGACGTGATGGAGAAGTCAATGGGGGGTGGTGTGCGGGCTGGGGGGAAGACTAGGAGCTCGGTTTTGGAGAGGTTCAGTTTAAGGAAGTGAGCGACATCCAGTCTGATATGTCGTTCAGTAGGTTTGTGATTTGGGCGGAGACTGAGGGGGTGAGGCAAGGGGTTGAGAGATAGATTTGTGTGTCATCGGCATAGAGGTGATAGTTGAAGCCGTGAGAGTGTATGAGTTGGCCAAGGGAGGAGGTGTTAGATGGAGAAGAGAAGGGCCCGAGGATGGAGCCTTGAGGGACCCCAACAGAGAGGGGGAGTGAGGGGGAGGTGGTAGCGTTATAGGTAACGCTGAAGGAGTGTTGTGATAGGTAGGATGAGAGCCAGGAGAGAGCAGAATCTCTGAGGCCGAGGGAGTGTATTTTTTTGAGGAGGAGGGGGGTGGTCGACTGTGTGGAAGGCCGCGGAGAAGTCAAGGAGTAGGAGCACTGAATAGTGGCCATTAGCTTTGGCAGTTAGAAGGTCGTTGGAGAGTTTGAGTAAGGCAGTTTCGGTGGAGTGTAGGGACGGAAGCCGGACTGGAGGGGATCGAGGAGGTTGTTGTCGTTGAGGTGAGAGCATAGGCGAGTGTAGACTAAGCGCTCAAGGAGTTTGGATGTGAATGGAGCAGGGGAGATGGGTCTGAGGTTGTTCGGGTCATTGGTGTCCAGAGAGGGCGTTTTAAGTATGGGGGTGATGTGTGCATGCTTCAGAGGGGAGGGAATGCGCCGGAAGAGAGGGAGAGATTAAAGATGTGGGTGAGGGAGCGTAGGATGGAGGGGGAGGGAGTTTCATAGGAGTTGTGAGGGGATAGGGTCGAGGAGAGGCGGGCATCAAGAGAAGACCTTGGAGACCTCCTCGATTGTAGTAGGGTCGAAGGTGTGGAGTGTTGAGGGGGCTTGAGTGTGAGGAATGTTGGGTGGGGTGAAGGTCAGAGCAGTGGTGGGGCTGTGGGAGAGGGGTGATGAGGGGGTAGCTGTGTGAGAGGGGACGGGGTTGGAGGAGTTTGAGCAGCGACGAAGTCTCTGCGATTGTGTCGATGAAAAGGGGGTGATGAGGGGGTAGTTGGGGAAAGGGGGGGGGGGGGGGGGGGGGGGGGGGGGAGGAGGGAGGGGGGGGGGGGGGAGTCGGGGGGGGTTAGAGGACGAGGAGATAGAGAATGTAATAAGGTTGTGGTCAGAGAGAGGGAAGGGGTGTGGTTGGTGAGGTTGTGGGGAGCGCAGCGTTGGAGAAGACAAGGTCCAGGATATTTCCGTCAGAATGGGTGGTGGATTGTATGCACTGTGCAAGTGCAAAAAGGAGGAGGTTAAGTGGAGGAGATGGGATGTGACCGGGTTGTCAATGTTGATAGGGATGTTAAAATCCCAAGGATGATGGTGGGTAGCTCGGAGGAGAGAAAGAAGGGTAACCAGGAGGAAAAGTAATCAAGAAAGCAAGGATAAGGGTCCAGGAGGGCGAGGTAGATTTATGGCAATCTTCAGGGGCTTTGGGGAGAATAGTCGGACGCAGTGGACCTCGAAGGAGGAGAAGGATAGAGAGGGGGGGTTAGGGAGGACTTGGAAGGTGCTCTGTGGTGACAGGAGCAGACCAACCCCACCACCTTTACGCCGTTGGGTCTGGGTGAGTGGGTCAGGTGAGACCTCCATAGGAGAGTGTAGCAGGGGAGGTAGAGTCAGTGGGCTGGATCCAGGTTTCTGTGATCACTAGGAGGTTGAGGGCTCGGGAAACAAAGAGGTTGTG